GTATAGGAATGGAGCTATTCATGCTCATAGGGGAGCACCTATGAAAGTTGCTGATTTCCAGTTCAGGATTTGATCATGACTGTGATCATGTTCACAGTTCTCCCCGCGGTTCAAGTTCCCCTAATCCCATAGAGATGAGCTCTCGATGTGGCCTGTGGTGATGGTTGAGGGGCAGACATTTCTGCTCCTTTCCTGCCGAGCCATCTAGTGGAGCGGTGTGCAGGCTGTGCTGTCAGCTGCATACGGAGGGCTGGGCGTAATCTCTAAGCCCTTACGTTGTGTGAAGTGGAAGGTTCCCCCCGTATATGTCCACATGTTTATAACATACCTATGAAGAAGCAGTACTGCTAGTAAATGGCAATTGAGTTAAGAAAGAAAATACAGATCCTTAAAAAAATAGAAGAATAACTAGTAGAATCCCCAAACATCAAAAGTAAAGAGAGAAATCCAACACTGAAAATGTTGCAATATATCCAAATAACTGTATATAAAACTCCTTGGCACTGGCACAGGAATGCATAGATGGATCACTGGGATAGAATCGAATTCAGAAGTCAACTGAGAGTATGGCATTTCAGATCCTTGAAGAGAAGATGACCTATTCAATAAGTAGGGTTGAGTAGACTTATAGAGCGTTAAACATCATACTTACTATAGCAGCCTGTAGTAAGAGAACTTTACTTTTACTATTACTTTACTATTACTAGTTACTAGAACTTTACTATTACTGAGAACAAGACATTATTCTACTCTTGAAGATCATTTCCTTGAGTACATAGACTCTTGGCACCTGTGAGATCATTTCCCCAAGCCCCTGCATATCTTTGCTTAATAATCTTTCTGCCTTTGTGTATCTTCTCAATAAAAGGACTCTGCAAGAAATGCTCAGGGCTATCCTGCCCTCATAGGTAGCCTCACCTCTTGTACTGTCAATCCCTGTCTCCGGTTGCGACAGAGACTGGCCAACTATTGGGTCAAAAATAAAGATGAATCCCAGCCTCATTCTTTTCTTCAAAATAAATTCTACATAGATGAAAGGTTAAAACATTAAGAAATGAAATTATAGCATTACTGAAAGAAAATGACCATTGAAAAGATCATTTTGAAGTGAGAAAGACTTGCTAAATAAAACCATAAACCCAGAAGCCATTTATGAAAATATATCTTTCTAGCAAACAAACAAAAACTGGTGAAAGAAAATTAAAAAAACAATAATACTTAAAATAAGGTCAATATTAAATTAATTCTTTTTCAGTTAAAGCGAATTCAATGATAGTATGTTGACATCATCTAACAGAGTCCTGTACCTGAAAACAGTTTGAATCTGTCTCTCTGATGAGTCGTAGGAAGTGAAGCGTCTTTCTATATTTTTGCCACTTAGCTTCCTATTGGGAATTGGTTGTGTTTTCAACTGTTCAGGGGTTTCTCCCCTCACTATTTGCTTTAGTATTAATCCTTTATTATGTGTGGTATAAATACTCTTGCCAGTCTGTTTATTATCATGTTGATTTTTTTCAATGTCTGCCATACTTTGCAGTCAGATCTGTTGATCTTTTCCTTATATCTTCTGGGGTCAGTGATTTGACCTTCCCCACCTAACTATAATGAACGGTTTTCTTTTGTGTTTTGTTCAAGTACTTTGTATATTTTAGTTCAGTTTAAGTTTTGGATACTTCTGTGATTTATACGAATGGAGTGATAGACCCTCATTTTTTCCTACATCAGAGGCTGGGTGATTCCTTTGCTTGCTGATGGAGTTTCTCAGTTCAGGCCTGGGTAGTAGTTCACCTGAGTTCCCCATCTTCACTGCTCAGTCCTTTCTGCTAACACTAGAGACTTTCCATCTCAGTGGCTCTCGACGCAGAGCACATTTCAACATCTAGAAGAGCATGCCCATGCTTTTCAAGATTTTCTTGAACTTTCTTGTACTTTCTCTTTTCTAGACGAATTTTAGACGCGTTTATTCAAGTTCCACAGCAAACTTCATGGACTGTAAGCTGAGAATGCATTAAATTAAATTGTATAAAATGTTAGCATTTTTCATGGTATTAATGTTTCTTCAGGTGATTGTGACATCTCTCCATTTATTCAGGTTTTCTTTTTGGTCTTTCAGTAAAGTTTTTATGCATTTTCATGTATATTTTGTGTATTTCTGTCAGGTTTATTCCTAGGTATTTGTGGATTTTTGTTGCCATTGGAAATAACTCTTTTAGTTCAGTGTTTTACTTTGATGTTTACCCAGGAGGAGGAGGATACTAAGGTACTTTTATTTATCAGTGTTAAAATTCTAGAATTGGGACTTGTTATTACACTGACTATATTTATTATGAAGTTTTTTGGAAGAGCTGTGATTATATCAATTTTCACTTTATAATTGATGAGGTCTTATATTTCAGAAAATATGCTGCATGTGTATGTGTAGAATATGTATGTGTCTCCCAGCTTACTGGAGATATGGGCATACTCTCCATGAAGTTCCAATTTCAAAGCCTTTGCTATGAGTTCAGCAAATTCAAGATCCCTAGCCTCTGGCTGTAGCATTTGTTCATGTCCCCAAAATGTCACTTTTGCCAACCAAAATCCAAAACCCAGCCCCTTTGATGTTTTCATAAAACAAGCATTCAAATGTGCTGATAGTTAGAGATCACAGGAAGGTCATGTCCACCGGCTCCCTGTGTCTGCTTTGGCCTTTCACCTCCAGCCCGGGAAATAATAGTCCAGATATTAGAAGACCAAGTGGAGTATTATCTTCTAAAAATTACTCAGTACTTTTCCTGAAGGAAACCATGATAAGTACAATTTTTTTTGTATTCCTTTTTATATCAGTAAACGTTATATATGGTATTTAAATATACCATATGCATTCAGATCATTCTCCCGTGTAGTATTTATATTTAAGTATACCCAGCTTAGGCCTTTACTTGAAATTAAAATTTTAAATCAGTTTGCTCTTGTGTATTACTTTGAATCCACAGATAGCACCACTAAATTTTCAGCACATGTGATGTTCTTGGTAAATGTAGCCAACTATATGTTAAACTCTTTAATCCAAAGTTAATAGAGGCTGTATTCTCTATTCTTTTGTATAGATGTTCATTGACTTATGGTGGGGTTATCCCTAATAAACCCATCATAAGTTGAACATATTGTAAGCTGAAATGCATTTAATATCAGTACAGCTTAGTCTGGCCTACCTTAAACATGCTCAGAACACTTACATTAGTCTACAGTTGGGCTAAATCATTTGGCAACACAGTGCACTGCAGAGTGTTGGTCTTTTACCCTTATGATCGTGTGGCTGACTGGGAGCTGTGACACATTGTCACTGCCCAGCACTGAGAGTATGGGTACTCCTGGCCTGAGGGAAGGTCAAAATTCAAAAAAGTATGATTTCTTCTGAATGTTTACAGCTTTTCTACCATTGTAAAGTAAAAAAAAAAAAAAAAATCATAAGTTGGAGATAGTTTGCATAAACTCCATAGTTCTTAGAAAATAAGGTGCTTTGAAAAGGTTTCCACCCCTATCACGTGATTATAGCCTGATTTCCTCGATAGCTAGGAGAATGTACCTCCTTTCCATCATCATTCTCCATCGTGTAGTGACAGTATTCACTAATTCATTCTGGATGTATCATGTGGCCCTCCCCCTGCTAAGAATGATTACAATAGAGCGAGTTAATACATATTTCTTTAAGCTATAAAGGAAAAGATATGTTTGATATTCCATTTAAATGCTTGAGCTTCACAGTGATTCTGTCATGATGATACTTTTTTATTGTGAAGTATTTGTTAGTTAGAAATTAGGTTATGCTAGAAAGTGATATGAAATGCAAAGCCATAGCTGATACGGTCATCGCAATAACCCGTTTATCTCGAGACAGAGACTTGCAGGGTCTGTGAGCTGTCACTGTGACGGCTCACTCTGCACCTTATGAATCCAGAGTGGTGCAGGCCCTGCTTTTATGACTCCCTTGTGGCATGGGTGTATGATACCATCCATTTCGATGGACCACAAGTTTTTCTCCTTAAAGGGGAATTAATGTATTCCTCAAAGTGATGTGGCTTTGTTAATTTTCATAGGGGAAACTGAAGTTCTTTGTCATTGGCAAAGATTTATTCAAAAGGGTGACTTAACCATTAAAACAAGCTTGCAGGCTGGGTGCAGTGGTTCACTCCTGTAATCCTAGCACTCTGGGAGGCCTCGGTGGATAGATTGCTTGAGCTCAGGACTTTGAGATCAGCCTGAGCAAAAGTCATACACTTGCCTCTACTAAAAATAGGAAAACTAGCCAGACAGTGGTACACACCTGTAGTCCCAGCTACTTGGGAGGGAGAGGCAAGAGGATTGCTCAAGCCCAAGAATTTGAGGTTGCTGTGAGCTATGATGCCACAGCACTCTACCAGGGTGACAGAGTGAGATTGTGTCTCAGAAAAAAAGAAACAAAAATAAAAATAAGCTAGTACCTTGTAGCATATATCATTTAAAAAAGAAGCTTGTAGAATAAAATAAAGCAAAATGGTATCCCTTAAAATAAACTGCTTTCATTTTTATTATAAACCAATCAGATTGACAAAAATTTGTCCTAGACACCTTAACAAATGTTCGCCCATATGATTGATTTGTCATCGCCAGTGTTCAATCTACATGTTCGGCTTGTACCCTCATAAAGGTTTGATACATGTTAGAGATAAAGATGATTTTCAGTTTTTTGACTTCTGAGAATGAAGCCATTAATTACTGATTTTTTAAAAGTTTTTGATTACTGCTTATGTCAACGAAAGCATAAGCCTTTCTTATGTTAGGCAGTGTTGTCAGATAAGATATTTTAAACAAAAGCAACTATTTAATGGAAAAATCATATCCTCTTCTTTACTTTGTAATTGAGAAAATTACCTGAAGATTTTTCTTTTCTTTTTTTTTTTTTTAACGAGGCTACTGATGACACTGATTATGAACTAAACTGTTCTTTACCAAACTAACTGCCACATTTTGAATTACAGGATCTCCAAAGGTGGGTTAATGGTGCTAATGAACATGGCTTTGTCCTGGTGTCTTTTGGAGCCGGTGTGAAGTATCTGTCAGAAGACATTGCTGACAAATTGGCAGGAGCTCTGGGGAGATTGCCTCAAAAAGTGATTTGGAGGTGAGTTTAAAATGCACATGGCTTCTCTGCTCTTAATTTTCAGTATCTCCTTGTTTACCTCCCAAATTCCAGTGAAGAGCAGCCCGTGGCTTCCTTGGCAAAATTAGCAGGATGCCCTTGACTTTTCATTTTGTCCTGTAGTGTACTGAAATCTAGGAATTAATGCATAAGACTCTATGATGGATAAAGCAACCTCTGACTTACGACACAAAAGGAAGATATAATTCTGAATGATTTACCCTGGTGTCAGATGCGTTTTTATTTTCCCTTCAGCGTTCTACCCTCAGTTATTCTGCTATTATTTATTATCATTAAAAAAATCAGTTACAATTGCCTGTCTTTCTATCTATTCCTTCAACTCACTTTTGGAATGAGGTAGACAATGATATATGAAAGAATAAGATACAGATAAAATATTACATGGACTCCTTTAAGCTCCCACTTTGCCTCCTTTATCAATACTTTTCATTTACTTAAGAGACCAGGCCTTTAACAAACACAACAACTTACCAGTTAACACTGATTACGATCGACCTTCCTCGGGGAGGTGCTGATAACATAGGTCTGTCTCTGAAATTTCCAACCTGATGTTTAAAAGTCACACCTGACCCCTTTACTTAGTATGTATTTATACCAGCACTCCTGGGCTCTGGGGATGTAGTAATAAAAAGCACCAGCCTCACAGTTTCTACCACATTAAAGTGTCTCTCAAGCCATTATACATAAGCTCTGAGCGATACACAGAGGGGGTCAAAAAATGTATCCACAGTCAGGTTTGACTTTTGCAGTTACAGAACATACAGGATACAATATACTAGATGACAAACTTTCTTGGCTGATATCAAGTATTACAATTTTAATAGATTTCTCCTTTCTTAAAGTGTGTGTACTTTTTTTGGCACCCTCTGTGTATTTTCCCTCTATAACCACTGTGCAAGAATTCGCTCCCACGTCTTTTGGTTGGCTTATCAAACAGATTTGTTTTTTTCTAACTGCTCTGGACTTTTCTCTTCAAATTCTAGTTGTATTGAATTTTCTCTATCAGACTTAACACAGAAAGAGCCTCTTCTGCTTTATTTTGGGCAGTGTATGTCTTCTCAGTTAGGACTCTTGTTATTCTCTTAGTTGTCAGGCAAGTTCATAGTTTATCTCTTAAAGACCAGACAGGGAATACCCTAGTTATGCCATTTGCTCCATGGATTTCCTATCTCTGGGCCAAGCTAAAAAGAACACTTACTGCTTTCTTTTAATTTCCGTGTGTTTTCTTAGGCTCTGGGTATAAAGGATTAGGACCATTTGCTACCCAATGGTGGACTTTCTGGCCCTTCCTGTTTCAGCTTTTGGGTATTTGTGGGGAGTAACTTCAGGCATTGATAGTTTGGTTGTTTTTCCCCCCATGTCTGTTTATACAGATGAGAAAAACCAATGTAAAACAGATTACCATATAAGACAATTATTTCTTATGTATCCTTCAATCGGAGAAAGAGTTTTTAACTAGAAAGAAACTTTGGCCAGGTGTGGTGGCTCACACTTGTGATCCCAGCACACTCAGAGCCCAAGGCAGGAAGATTGCTTAAGGCCAGAAGTTCTGGGCCAGCCTGGGCAACATAGCAAGGCCCTTCTCTACATGCACTGTCTCTAAAAAAAGAAAAAAAACATTAGCCAGGTGTAGGGGAACATACCTTTAGTCCTATTCCACTATAGGCAAGACTAAATCCTTTAGTTTGAAAGGATTGCTTGGAACCCCAGGAGTTGGAGGTTACAGTGAGCTGTGATTGTGCACACTGTACACACTGCCTGGGAGACAGAGCAAGACCCTATCGCTGAAAAAGAAAAAAAGAAATGTACTCAAATTTTTGTC